GTCGAGACCAAGACGAGACCAAGACCACGTAAAAGTGGTCTCGAGACCGGTCTCGAGACCAAGACCGGTCTCGAGACATCCAACTCTAGTTTCAGCCTCTCCAGACAGCCACGGCGAGAGGGGGGGCTCGCTCAACACGAGTCCAGTCTCAGCTCCTCTTTGACCTCCACAGCTGAGGCTTTGAATGCGGGATTGTTGTTTGGACACAGATTCATGTTAGAAACGCTCCAGCTTCATGCAGCTGTCCACGATGCAGCGTTCTCCTAAACGCTGCTCGGAGGGCACAAACTGTCCTCAGCGCGCCTGCAGAGCGTCAGCTCTATAATGTCCTCATCAGCGAGGAGAACCTCCTGCATGTGTGACACCAGTTTGAACTAGAAAGCATGAGGCCCTTCATTCTTTAACATCAAACATCTACGGTCCATAGAGCCAACAGGAAAGAGCCGCTCACGCTCCGCGTAGATACAGTTGGAGGTCCGTGTAACCAGAGCTGGACCTCGCTTCAATCAGCCTGTCACTGGAGCGCTGATGACCTCCACATGCCTCGCATTAGAATAACCCTCCCCCAAATCCGCCTCCACTCACAGGGCCTCGAGCATTTGGCCCGTGATTAAACACAGCTCTGAAATACGCTCGTGGGCGAACACATGTTCATACATGTAGACGGAGAGAGGGAGGCGTGAGCGTCCAATAAATGAAGCCCACACAGATCCAGAGCTGCTTTTGCTGCCTGGAGGACGAAGCAGATTTATCTGCAGCACCTTGGAAAAGAATCGAGAGGAGTTTGAAATCTTTATTAGCTGCAATCAGCTGGTGAAATTCACTGGAAGTGTGTGGCAGCAGGAGACGGGAGGAAACCATGACTCAGGACAGATCACTAACATATTAAACTCTTTATTCATCGGGAACTAAAAGCCAGTAAAACCTTCTGGTTTGTAGTAGCCACGCCCAAATCCTCACTCATCCAGGACGCACGTTAGTCAGATACGTTATTTTGGTTTCACGGCTCACCTGCACGTCGTGCACGATTGTGTCGCCGTGTGAACAATTCGTCCAAGACGATGGTCCTCTGTCAGTAAACAACGTTCTTCGTTCTCACTGCTGTTCGTGAATCATGCGAGGACGTGCACGCCGCCCACGCCTCTGATAGAGATCTAACAGGTCCGTCCCTGCTGGGACAGGCAGGAGAAGATGGACGGCTGTGCAGCGGTAACAGCAAACACCCGAAGCTAATGAGGCTCATTAATCCCACAACTCTGATTAAAGTGCATCAGAGCGGCTCACCTGTGTGTGGATGACCGTCCTCTCGTCGCCTCGGTGAACCCAGCCCGTTCTGCTTTGGAGAACCTCTCGGGCTCCTCCAGATGTGATGACCTTCTGGCGTGGACCTCGGTCTTCAGGTCAGCCCACAGTCAGACCGGACAGTAGCACTCGCTTTGGTCTTCTGGAGGTCGTTCGTTGCAGTATCACAGTGTAATCCTGCCACTGCTTCCCTGTGGGACATGAACCTTTCTCCGGGTCGTCCTCGGCACACTGCAGTCTGACTTGAAGGTGTCTCTTCTGCAGAAGTTTTTGGCGTCCGTTCCTCTGCAGGGTTCTAGCGATCGTCTCCTTTGAGACTAAGATTCTCATCTGGGCTGACCCGTTCGCTCGCTTCTTCTCAGCTCTTTAGACTCATCGATTTTTCATCGTCATACATCCACCTCCTGCTGTGTGAGCATCACCAGATCTTTGTCTCAACGCCGGATCTGATTTCTTTTGTTTTTGTCCTGATGTTCTCTCAGTGACAGCTCCAACCTGTTTCGTACTGTGCCTCAGTTTGAACTTTGTTCACAGCAGTGCTTCGTGCTGTGAGTCACTTAATAAAACTGATCCTGGTGATTTTATAATTCTGTGCAAATAGAAAACGTTTGTTTGAAATGCTTTGCAGAAAAAAAGCACAAATGCAAACAACGTGTTGACAGCTTCTTAAACTGTTGACATGTGGATTCTGTCATCTGTGCTTTATGGTCTGATTTGCATGTAAAATTTCTGAATGTGTTTGGTTAGCATGTGGCTAAATGCATGCTAACCATGACCCAAACCTGCAACACCAGTCTGCTCCTCTCATCGTTCACTCCTCAGTGTTTGTCCTGCTCTTCTAATGATGGTAACTGAACACGGACAGATTAAATACTGATGTTGTTTTGTTGTGAGGTGATCTGAGCAGGAGTTCAGGGAGGACAGAGTTTGAAATGAGGAAGTAAACAGAGAGCAGAGACTTTATGGAGGCGGGCGTGAGACAAGAAAGTAGAGAGGCAGTAAAAACCGGCAGGGAGCTCCTCTGCATCTGAAGCACCATCGTCCAGAGAACATTTAAAATATTCTCTCATTCATCCGGCCTGTGATGTGGCCAGACACTGTCTGCTGCCTACAGATCTCAGGAAATGGCACCGTGAGGCCGTGAGGAGAGCCAGATGATGCTCTGAAGTCTTCTGGCTGCAAACACCAGAAAGAGTCTGACTCATCTGGCTGCTGAGGCTGTGGAGCTGCACGCGGAGATATCGCGTTTGGCCCAACGACAGCAGAAACCAGCCGAGGATGTCTGAGGGTTTAGCCTGTTTTACACAGACTGTATATAAAAGATGGACATAGCCACTGGTTGGTGTGGTGCTGACGGTGGATACGAGTAAGTGAAGGACACAGAAGCATTTCATTAACCTTAGAGCGTACCCCTCGATCATCTCGCTCGTCCTTTCTGCTCTAACGGGATTCGTTTCCAGAATTATCCTCATGGTTTTAATTACATCCGAGCTGAAACCAGCGACTGAGACCTCATAGTTCCCTGAGCTGTCAGACCAGAAACACTTCAATACAGGAGTCGCCCCCTGCTGGACATTAGAAAGAACCCAGGTTTAACCCGCTAACAGGCTTCCCGCCTGGATGCTACGGATGCTGCTCCATCTGGATTCACAAAATGCTTTTGACTAAATTACAATTTCCTGATTCCTGCTGGCTCCTCCCCTGCCGTGTCCCCGACTCCACGGCAACGCTGATGTTATTCAAACTGAGCGTCACATCTTATTTCCTGTCAGTGCGCTCACACACGCCGAGTTTTAATAGTTTCCCCGTGTCTGACACTGGTTTACAGACGTCGCACAGACGTGATTGGTGACCTCGCAGCTGTCGGTCGATGATTTGTAGCTTTTATTGCGGTGCTGCGGTTCTGGTTTCACAGCACCCCGAGGAGATGAGTTCATGGCTGCGAGCAGGAATGTGTCGTTTCAATAATTATACTGAAACTTTCAACATCAGTGGGCGAGACACGCTCAGCAAACCATTTCAGCTTGATTAAAAACTGACCAATCAGGACGCTCCATCATCATCATTATGAGCTAGCATCTCACGTCTCAGCTCAGAAGCGGGGCTGGAAGTGATTTACTTTACTGGATGCAGGAATTTTTGGATGGCTTCTTTACTGTTACAAGATTGGGAAACATCAGATGATTCCTGTCATATCTTGACATGCAAATCCATATTTCCTGTGTGTGTGGAGGGAGGGTTCATCCTCGGCTGCAGATGCAGACTGTGGACCGTTCTCCTGATGCATGCTAGTTTTGATTTTCATGCCTTACGAACACTGTGTGCATTAATAAACAACATGTCGTCCATTCATGTTCATTCATGAACAATTTATTAGACGAATCCTTCAAACCTTTATTTAAAAAATTTAAGTTACACATAATTGTCCAATAATTTAACCTGGACGATTGTAAGTATCTTAACTGGGGCTGAAATATCCCATAATTATCATAAATATTCTTCCTCCCCTCGTGTCTCTGCTGTGTTTCTGTCTCTGTTATATAACGAAATCCTGTTTTGGCACAAAAAGCTTCTGCAAACATCTACTCAGCCTCACGTTCCTCGTGGAGCAGATGTTTGAAGCAGCTCCCGCTGTGATGGAGCTGCTTCCAGATGTGAAACAGACTCTGTTTCTGTCGCAGGTACAGAGAAACCCGATCCAGCATGGAGTGGAGGCGGGCTGCTCTGGTCGGCCTCATCATGGCGGCGTGTTTCTGCAGCAGCGGCGCTCAGACAACAGGTGGGTGTGATTATGCAGCTTATGGCTCCACTTCCTGCGTCCTGGTGAAAGTATGACATCAGTGGAAGCTGTTTATACCATCCATACACACACACACACACACACACAAACACACACACACACACACACACACACAGGTAAGTTTTGAAGTTCACACACGGAGCACTAACCCTGCACAGGAATGTGTTTGCAGCTGAGCACGTGCACACGCACAATTAACAAGCTCACAAACGCACAAACACAAAGCTTCGACGGGTGTCTGGTTGCATAAAACATTTTCCTTCTTAGGTCTCAGGCTCCAGATTAAAACTTCCTCCACTGATCCTGTCGTTCCAGCATCGCTGCCACACAGAAACATTTAGTATCTGTTTAACCACAAATCACTTCTCCAACATTATGTAGAGCTGGACGTTTAGGTGCAGTCCATGGTCGCTGTCAGTAATTAAACTAATACATAAGTTATCCCTGAAAAATGTAGCATTAACTTGTGGATGATGACTGGAAATAAAAAAGCAGATTGAAGTTAGCAGCGTGTAGCCAGGAAATGTGATTCGTCAGCAGTGCTGAGACGTCTGCACAAGGGATGAAGTCCACTAGAAGACAGAATACATGTGTGTGAATGAGAGGGGGGCAGGTGAACATGCAGGAGCAGAAATGGTGAAGGTTTAACATCCACAGGACAGAGTGCAGGCAGGGTGGAGCGGGTGGAGGCAAATGTGACTGAAGGATAGCAGCAAGAGTGAAAGGGAAGGTTCAAGGATGGAGGTGAGACTTGGGACAGTGGAGCTGAGCTGAAGGTGTTCAGTGAGCAGGATGGAGGGAGGGTGGAGAATGAAGATGCAGCTGCAGGCAGGAGAAGAGGAAGACGCTGGGATAGGTTGAGGTGGATGCAGATGATCCACTGTGAGCAGCAGAGAGAAGGAAGGCCCGGTGCGTGGCTCTGATTGGCTCCTCGGGGTGTGTCCCCTTCTTCTCCACACGCCCGTTTTACCATAATCAAGCTGCTGATGAGGGAGCAGTTTTCTGGGTTTGAAAAGTTGTCCAGCAGCTGTACTTTAAAAAGGGCCTCTGTAAAAATAGATCTGACTCGCTCTTATTCACCAACGGTATCTATTAAAAATGGGTGAACCTGACCTGTAGTGCTGTCATTGGGCCTTTGCTGTATTACAACTGGAGCACGCTCACGTTTAACGTGTTCAAGGTGTTTCTGAGACGGCCCCGAATTATTAGGGTTAGTGTGGAAATGTTTTTGCAACCAGGCACATGAATGAGATGAGAGGGTTAAAGGTCGGGGTTTCGTTAGCAGTCAGGTCACTGCTAACGGAAGCAAAGCTTTCTGAAGGCAACCAACACCAGCTGTAAGCCACACGCCGCTTTTTCTCATTTTCCTCACGCTTTTCCACCCTGAAGGTGAGTGCTGTCAGCAAGCATCCCTGCTGCAGTCCAGAGGCTTTTCACGAGCTGGCGGCAACATGCCCATTTTTCTTTTCCAGCAGTCACATGGCACAGCCCACCTCTGTTGTCTATAAGCCACGCTGACACCTCACGTTGCCAAATGTCCTCAGCTACTGAGAGATTTCCTTTTAGCGTCCAGCAGTTCTTCCCCGTGACTTAAAGACCTTTCCTCTTAGTCTGTACCGAAGAGGCCGTGGCAGACATCGTCTTCCTGGTCGATGGCTCGTGGAGCATCGGCGCCGAGAACTTTGAGCAGATCCGCCAGTTTCTGTTCACGCTGGTCGATAGCTTTGATGTCAGCCCTGATCACGTCCGCATCGGCCTTGTCCAGTACAGTGACAATCCACTCACAGAGTTTCTGCTCAACACCTTTGAGAACAAGGAGGACATCCTCAACAACATCATCAAACTGCCTTACAGGGGGGGCGGCACCATGACCGGTAAAGGCTTGGAATTCATGTCGAACGAACACTTTGTGGGGAAAGCTGGAAGCCGAGCTGCGCAGAAAGTGCCGCAAATTGCTGTGGTGATCACTGATGGCAAATCCCAAGACGATGTAGAGTCTCATGCTAAGAACCTGAGGAGAAGAGGGATTGTTTTGTATGCAATTGGTATCAAAGATGCAGATGCAAGCCAGCTGAGGGAGATTGCAAATGACGATCAGCATGTTTACAGTGTGTCAGATTTTGCAGCGCTGCAGGGAATTTCTCAGAACATCATCCAGACGCTATGCACAACTGTAGAAGAAGCCAAACGACAACTCCTGCAACTGTCTCCAGGTAAACCCCAAAAGCTTGATTCTGTTCATCTGGACATGGTGTTTTCAGAACGTTTGGTCACTCATCCAGGTGACTTTATCGGTCTCAGCTGACTGCAGGTTTGAAACCAGCCCGCTGACTAACAATGGGCTCATGAACTAACAGGTTCATCATCATAAACATGCAAACTGTCGTCTCAAGGTAAAATAAGTCTGAGTAGAAAAGTGTTATATGAGAACCAGTCCATTAACCATTTATTAAATATAAAACCGGGAAAGCCCCGCCCAAAGTTTTTATCTTTCTCGAGAAATGTAGGTTTCACTGACTTTCCTCTCGTGTTCCTGACTTTCTTCTTCTTCTTTTCCAGAATGTGCCAGAGCCACCGTGGCAGACATCGTCTTCCTGGTTGACAGCTCAACTAGCATTGGCGTTGATAACTTTGAGGAAATTAGGCAGTTTCTCCGAAGTTTCATTTTAGGCCTTGACATCGGCCCTGACAAAATTCGGATTGGCTTGGCTCAGTATAGCGACGAGACCTACCAGGAGTTTCTGCTGAAAGATCACATGGACAAGGATTCTCTGCTGGCTGAAGTCGATCAGTTTCCATATCGAACAGGAGGCACAGAAACAGGAAAGGCCATTGACTTCCTCCAGTCAGTGTACTTCACTCAGGAGGCAGGGAGCCGGGCGAGCCAGCGAGTTCCTCAGTTTGCTGTAGTCATCACAGACGGGGACTCCACGGATGACGTAGTCGAGCCCGCCAAGCGCCTGCGCGATCAAGGAGTTATCATATTTGCCATTGGGGTGGGAGATGTTAACAAGCAGCAGCTCGAGTCTATCGTAAACCTACCTGCACACCACTTCCTTTACACTATCGATAGCTACCAGGCTCTACAGCGGCTAACAGACAGTCTGCTGCAAACTGTATGCATCTCCGTGGAGAGTCGGAGTCAAGGTGAGACAAAGAAAACGTCCTTACAGAATTGTTTATTATAAGAGAAGGAAATAAATACCTGAATGCTGCTTAGTTCTATTTTCACTGGTCAGGGATTTAAAATGTAACTGCGTCAGAGGATTTCTGCTCAGTTTGCATTGATAGCAATCGGGAACGTATCGGCTGATCATTTAGAGATGTTAGTCGAGTTACCCGCAAGCTGCAGCGGAACCCCTGAAGGCTTTTCTCATCCACCACTCAATGTGTATGAAACAGATACGTTCTTTGCTTTAAAGCGAATAGAAAGAAAACCCCCGACAGTCAAAGACAACATGTTTTCAGTGTAACAAATGCCACCCCTCGTTCAAACGTGATTGGTCAGTAGCACGTGGACTCTAACGTTAGATTTTCTGACATTCTTAATTCAGTCTTTATTATTTATTATAATTGAAGAAATTAGGTTGCTTAACTTACACTTCCTTATTTTTAATGACATTATGACCAGTTTTTCTTTTTTTTTAACTGGTTAACCATCACTGCTGACTATAACTTCTTTAGGTAAACTTAACGGACCATTGTCCAGCCTTGCTGGAGCCCATTGCAGCATAACTAAGGGAGGATTCAGGGTCACCTGGTCCAGCCCTAACTATATGCTTTAGCAAAAAGGAAAGTTTGAAGCCTAATCTTGAAAGTAGAGATAGTGTCTGTCTCCTGAATCCAAACTGGAAGCTGGTTCCACAGAAGAGGGGCCTGAAAACTGAAGGCTCTGCCTCCCATTCTACTTTTAAATACTCTAGGAACAACAAGTAGGCCTGCAGAGCGAGAGCCAAGTGCTCTAATAGGGTGATATGGTACTACAAGGTCATTAAGATAAGATGGGGCCTGATTATTTAAGACCTTGTATGTGAGGAGCAGGATTTTGAATTCTGGATTTAACAGGAAGCCAAAACAGGAGAAATCTGCTCTCTCTTTCTAGTCCCTGTCAGTATATTATAGCACCTAAGTTAGTACCCTAATATGGAGAATATGATCCGTCGTGCTGTGTCCTCTCTGAGTGGTTTTGGAAAAAACACAAAAAAGGAAATTAGAAGCAACAAATGCATGGCTCTGAGACAGCGTGTGTCCAATTTTAAAAATATTGTGCAGATGAAAGAGAATCGTGCCATCCAGGGCAGGGTTGTGGTTACAAACTGAAATTAAAACGACAACAATTCCAAACCTTTGTCTTTTAGACCTGCAGGTAGTTTAATTTCATATAAATGGAAATGCATATAATAATAGTGAAGGACTGTTTTCTTCTTAATTTACAGCGTTGGCAGAAAAGTTTGCAGACATTTTCTTCCTGGTGGACAGTGGCATCAGTCAAGCAGATTTCCAGCAGGTCAGAACCATCCTGGTCCGACTGGTCAATCAACTCAACATTGGAGCTTCTGGCAACCGTCTCGGACTGGCCCAGTACGGTACGGTTACCAAAGTGGAGTTTCTCCTTAATGCTTTCCAAACCAAAGAGGCGACGCTCACTGGTGTAAGGTCCTTCCGCCAGAGCCGACTTAAGCCCAATCAGCCACGCAACCTGGGCAGCGCACTGGAGTACGCCAGCTCTAATTTCTTCACAAATGAATCAGGAAGTCGGGCATCCCAAGGCTTCCGACAGTTTCTGGTTGTTCTAAGTGGAAAAGACTCAGATGATCCAGTTTTTAAGCAGACACGTCTGATCAAATCACTAGGAGTAACTACCGTGGGAGTGAGCTTCGGTGCATCAATGGACGAAATGCGTGTAATAGCCACGGCGCCGTACGTGTACGAGTCTACCTTCAATGCAGTGCCCACCCTAAAGACCATTTTTGAAAGAGAGGAAGAGGAGATCACTCTCACTCAAGGTGAAAAGTCTTTACTTTCATTATTGTTGTCATCAGTCATAAAATCAACTCCTGTGCATGTTTGAAAAAGGTTATTCACAAAGGAACAGTCACGTAAATTACCTGTTTTATTAACTTTAATCTTGATGATAAACTTATCCTGCTGGAAACGCCAGCATGCTGTGGCGAGAACATCTGAGATGTCTTCATGCTTCCATATTTTCACCCCAGGACATCAAATATTTTAACATTTATTTTTACTTTCACGTTTTCAGTCTGTTAGATGCAGACTGACCTTCCCTGCAGAGAAATCACAGCCTTCCAGTCAGATGAAGTCTGTTGTTGTGAGAAAGTCACAGCTTTATCATATGCTAGCTTTAGACAGTGCAAACACAAGGTGACAGCTTGTGTTAAATGTACCACTTCACAGCATAGATGTGTTTATTAGTTGCATTTAAATGTGACAGTCATTCATGAGTGGAAAGCCAGCCTGTATGGGTGGTAAGAGACAACTGTTGCTAGCTTCACGGGCAGTAGAACCGACATCATTGAGATATATTTAACCGAAACTCTGTTACACTTCAACATCGTCAAAACGCTTGAAATGCTAGTGTCATTTCTCAATTCAATTCAATTCAATTCAATTTTATTTATATAGCGCCAAATCACAACAAAAGTCACCTCAAGGCGCTTCATAGATACAGAGAAAAACCCAACAATCATATGACCCCCTATGAGCAGCACTTTGGCGACAGTGGGAAGGAAAAACTCCCTTTTAACAGGAAGAAACCTCTAGCAGAACCAGGCTCAAGGAGGGGCGGGGCCATCTGCTGTGATTGGTTGGGGTAAGAGAAGGAAGACAGGACAGGATTCTCAGCATGTAGTGGGTGTCCCACTGTGACTGCCTACATGAGTTATTAAAACAAATAACATGGATCTGTTTGTTCTAATGATCCTCGACAGTATATGTGGACTAATTCTTTAGTTTGATTGCGGAATATGAGGGCAATACAGAAACAGGCACCCTGGATGGGAAACCTTTATTAGCTGTCACGTACCTGGAATTCTGTGCCAAAGAAACAACATCCAACCAAATGACCTACTAGCAACACATATTTAACCCTAATTCCAAAAAGTGTGATGCTGTGTACTGAGATGTGAGGTTGTATTCTGCTGTTATTCCCATTTTGTACAGCATCCCAACCTTTGTGGAACTGGGGTGAAGCTGCACATTAACAAAAAGCAAAAAGAATTAGTGTGGCGTCATCGTCACATCCTGAATCAGAATGCTTGAGTGATAACGAGATTATGATTCCCTTTACAGACTGCAAAGCAGCCAAACTGGCGGACTTCGTCTTCATCGTGGACGAGTCGGGAAGCATCGGCTCTGAGAACTTCGACCTGGTGCGCTCTTTCCTGCTGTCCATTGTCAGCGGCTTTGACGTCGGTGACAAGAGAGTCCGGGTGGGTATCGTTACGTACAGCGACCAAGCCACAGCGCTGGTCTACCTCAACAGCTTTAATGAAACGGACAGTTTGCTGAATTTCATCAAAATCCTGCCTTATCGCGGAGGTGGTACAAACACCGGAGCTGCCCTCAACTTCACTCGCGAAAATATTTTCACGGAGGACGCTGGAAGCAGGAAAGATAAGGGCGTTCAGCAGGTGGCGGTCGTGATCACAGACGGCAAATCGCAGGATAACGTCACCGAGGCGGCAGCTGCTCTCCGCCGTGCTGGCGTCACCGTTTACGCTGTGGGAGTCCAAAGTGCCAACGAGGCTGAACTGAACCAGATAGCGTCCCACCCCCCCAACAAGCACGTGTTCATAGTGGACACTTTTGACAAGCTGAAAGGTCTGAAGAAGAACCTGCAGAAGACTCTTTGCTATAACATCATTCACCAGGCGGTCTCAGTCAGCACAAGAAGAGCTGGCATCAAAGAAGGTGTGGACCAGCATGTTCTTACACTTTCATGACTTAACTTGAACATCATGACTTCTTTAACAAATTTAAAGGTGCAAAACTCAGAATGTTTGCTTTTCCTTTCCAGGCTGCGTGCAGACCGATGAAGCAGACATGTTCTTCCTGATCGACCACTCGGGAAGCATTCACCCCAATGACTTCTATGACATGAAGAAGTTCATCATTGAGTTTATTAATACCTTCCGTATCGGGCCTCAGCATATCCGAATGGGCGTTGCCAAATACGCAGATTCGCCAAACCTGGAATTTGATCTGACCGATTACACAGATGCATCCACGCTGGAGAAAGCTGTGGAGGAAATTAGACAAGTAGGCGGCGGCACACAGACGGGGCAGGCCCTGGAATTCATGAGTCCACACTTTGAGAGAGCTGTGGTCACTCGTGGTCACAAAGTCCCCGAGTTCCTGGTGGTCATCACGGATGGAAAATCTCAGGATGAGGTCAAGGTTCCAGCAGAGCGACTGAGGAAGCAGGGTGTCATTGTCTACGCCATTGGGGTGAACAAAGCCGACGTGCCTGAGCTGCAAGAGATTTCCGGTGACCCCAAGAGGACTTTCTTTGTCAATAATTTTGATGCCTTAAAGAGGATCAAAGATGAAATCATCACAGATATCTGTTCTACAGACGGTGAGGGGAAATGAACCACACTCATGTTACAAATGCATGTCTAGAGGTTACAAGCAGCACATACTGCAGGTGCATTTTTTTAATTTTCAGTGTTTAAGTCATTGTATATCTCATTGGGTTTAAGTTTAATGAAAACAGCCGTATAAAACTGCCGTATTCAGCCTTAAACCAGTAGTTAAGAGTAGAATGAAACTGAAATAAGCAAAGTGAAAGGAGAACAGATTTTACTGATGACATAAATCGTTGGATATCAGGGAGTTCGTCACCTTAACAGAAATGAGTTTTTACACTGAGAAAGACACTGTTAAGTGTTAGCATAAAATACTGAATTAATATGCATGAAATTGTCTTATCTACTTATCAAATGCCACCAGAGGAATAAGATAAAAGTGAGCAAATATTAGCCAAAATGTATCTATACAGACAGATATATAGATATAATATGCTGCACATGGTCAGAGAAGGCTGGACAAGAGCCGTTCAACACAGGACACCTTTGTTTCTTGAAACAGGGTAATTATTATTTAACATACAAGCAGCGATGCTAACATGGATGTGCTACTCTGCCTACAGTTTGTAAAGATATACCAGGCGACCTCGTCTTCTTGATTGACAGCTCTGGAAGCATCTATGCCGAAGACTACACAAAAATGAAAGAGTTCATGAAATCGGTCATTAGGAAGTCCATCATTGGGAAGAATGAGGTGCACGTAGGCGTCATGCAGTTCAGCACTGTCCAAAGCCTCGAGTTCCCACTCAACGTCCACTACAGCAAAGAAGAAATGTCGACAGCCATCGATAGCATGGAGCAGATGGGTGGAGGCACGTACACGGGCAAAGCCATAAGAGAAGTATCTCAGTATTTTGATGCAGCCAGAGGAGGACGGCCCAGCCTGAGGCAGAGGCTAGTGGTCATAACAGATGGCGAGGCCCAAGATGCAGTTAAACGCCCCGCTGAAGATCTGAGGGCCAAAGGAGTGGTGGTCTACGCCATTGGAGTGGTGGACGCCAACACCACCCAGCTGCTCGAGATCAGTGGATCCCCAGATAGGATGTATGCTGAGAGGGACTTTGATGCTTTGAAGGACTTGGAGAGTCAAGTGGCTTTGGAGCTCTGTGATCCGGAGAGAGGTGAGAGGAGACTGGGACCAACCCGAAACGTGAACTATATCCTTGTTTTTGTAAATATAAAAATCTTTACAGTTTGCAGTCTAGTGCCAGGCAGCAGGGATGAGATCATTCAAGTCTGAGGCTTCTTACTTTAACAGGTTAATGCAGTAGTCTGCCAGTTAATGGGCTCCTTGCTCTAATGAGAAGGATCCTGTTCTGTAATATGTGTTTGTGTAAAGACAGGAAAGATTTCGTCATTCGTCCACTCATCTTTCCAAGGAGGAAAGGACTCCTCTTTGAATACATATTTGTTGAGTCCCACATTAAAAGGGTCCTCTGTTTTTCCGACCTGTGTAACATGAGAACTACAGTATTATAATGAGGTCAATGTGGTGGTTAGGGATGAATTCAGTTTTATTCATACAGCGCCAAATCACAACATCAGTCGGCTCACGGTGCTTTATACTGTAAGGTAGACCCCACAATAATACACACAGAGAAACCCCAACAATCATATGACCCCCTATGAGCAGCACTTTGGCGACAGTGGGAAGGAAAAACTCCCTTTTAACAGGAAGAAACCTCAGGCAGAACCAGGCTCAGGGAGGGGCGGGGCCATCTGCTGTGATTGGTTGGGGTGAGAGAAGGAAGACAGGATAAAGACATGCTGTGGAAGAGAGACAGAGGTGATTTTAGCAGCATTATAGATTAGCGGGGAACTTCTGGAGCAGATCAGGGACTTTCTGTTTGGGTGTTTGCAGCTTTCTTTCAGTGGCTCCAGTTTCTTCCACCATTAAAACCTATTGTGGTACATCAACCCTACATGATAAAGAGATCCTCGTCACCTTCACTTTAATATTTTAACCTTCTAGGACTTGACGTCTGCATATGTGGACATCACATTTTGGGTTTTTTAGACCACAATACTTAATATTTTTCTACAAGGGCCTAATATCCACTTACGAGGACATTACACTGCTCTATAAAAATTAAAAACGAATATCATTCTTCTCAGAAACAAAAAAATTGGTAAAAAGAAAATGTTTTTTACATTCATCAGGTCTTGATCAGCCCAAATAGCAAAGAGAAATTAAAAATGCATGCCATGAAAGGGTTTGGGTCTTAGGAGGTTTTAAAGAGCTGTTCCTTGACGTTCCTGCTCCCATTCCCTCTGACCAAACATTTGTGCTTTTTACCACCAGAATGCAAGAAGACAGAAAGAGCTGACATCATTTTCTTGGTGGACGGCTCCACAAGCATAACCCTGGAAAAGTTTCGAAGCATGCAGAAGTTCATGCAGTCGATGGTGAACCAAACCACAGTTGGCAAAGACCTGACCCGCTTCGGTGTCATCCTCTACGCGAATGAACCCAAGTCTATTTTCACTCTCAATCAGTTCAGCTCCAAGCAGGAGGTTTCCCAGGCCATAAAGGCTCTCAAATCCCCGTATGGAGACACGTACACTGGCAAGGCTTTGAAATATGCTCTACAGTTCTTTGATGCTAACTATGGTGGACGGGCAGAGCTGCAGGTGCCTCAGATCCTCATGGTAATTACCGATGGCGATGCTACTGACCCACACAGTCTGGATGAACCATCTGTGGCTCTGAGAAACAAAGGGGTCACTGTCTTCAGTATTGGAGTAGAAGGAGCCAACAAGAAACAGCTGGAGGTCATGGCTGGTCAAGATAAAGCCAGAGTTTTTTACGTGGATAACTTTGACGCCCTGGAAAAACTCTACAAAAACATCACGCAAGTCCTGTGCAACTCCACCAAACCAGGTAAGCAACTAAACTTCTAATTACATCAGGCCAAAGAAAATGGATTTGCAAGGATACAATAAATGATTATACTAACAGCACATTTCTGAATTTCAGACTTGACGTAAATAATCCTCAAATTGATTGAGAAGAAGCGTTTTAAAACACGATTCTTCTCACATCATTGTAAGAAAAGCAAGCAGGAAGATTTTATGTTGGCAACAGTAACTTCAGAAGTTTTCTGGGTTTTTTCACTCATTAGTTCAGATATTTCTACAGTCAGTACAGCATACTGGATGTCTTTAAACACCAACATGACACTGATAAATCTGTGATTAGCAAAGGCTCACAAACATCTGACCGAAGTTTGGAAAACAAAGTGGATCACTTTATAGCTTTATAGCACTTGTTTCCACAGCCTGTATGGGAGCATCCCACAGATACTAATTAGTGCATAATAAAGTCCCCAAATTTCACTCAGCGCAACTGGAGCTCAGATTTCTTGATAAGTCTGTTAGTACTATTAACCTAACAGCAGCCATATTATTGGTTGGTACACTATTGCATTAAAAATGCTTCAGTTCAAAGAATTAGCTGTTCAATTCAATTTTATTTATATAGCGCCAAATCACAACAACAGTCACCTCAAGGCGCTTCATATTTGTACAGTAAAAGATGTCAAAGATGCTACCCCCCTAATAATGCAAATAATAATGCAAACTACCTTCTTAATAATACCTAAAGGCCCATGTGTCACAATCCGCGAGGCTGACTGTGTGTAGCGTGAAAGGTGGACACAAAACGAAACAAAACGTGACTTGAATGACCAAACACGAGCCGTTTATTGAGGCTGGCAAGGCTAACAATAAACGAAACTGGGTGAGCTAAATTAAATAAAAGCCTACAACAGGAACATGGCCCTGACCTGAAAACTTGACATGAACTCTTGGCCTACAACGCAACCGATCTGACAATGACACCCTGAAAACAGAGGACTTAAATACACAGGAGGTGATTAAGGGAAGTGGGAACACATGGGCGAACAGCTGACTGACAGGAGGCTAATGACAGGACAGGGGAAGTGAAACTAAATACAATGAACAAAGAACACACACCGCCTTCAAAATAAAACAGGAAACATGAGACACAGACATGACAATACAAACTTGATAACATAAGACATGCAGCATGAAACACAAAGGGTGAGGGAATACAGGGGCAGAAAACACAAGGCGTCTAATAACCAGATGAACTTTGCTAATCTAACGACCTTAAACATAAACAACATCCACGTGTTTATTTCTGCTGTCACGTTTTAACGTGGGTGTCAAAGGGACTGACTCGCTGCTGGAGCCTCTGCTGGATGTTAGAGGAACTGCAGTTTTTGGCACGAGTCTAAATTTTTAACCCCGGGGATAACAATTACAAACAACTAACCATCACCATCATACGTGTAGAGCACCGAATGTGTTTGAAATGTGAGTTTCATGCCATCGTCACAAAAATAATCTGTATTTGTCAACAAAAGAACATGAAGAGCCTCCACACAGGGTGTGGTCCACGTCTCTAATATCTGCGTTTTCATTTACAGTTTGTGAAAAGCGAAGTGCTGACCTGGTCTTCCTAGTTGATCAGTCGGGTAGTATTAACCAAGCTGACTACGCCATCATGAAGAACTTCACCATAGATCTCATCAACAGCTTCAAAGTCAGTGAAGATTTAGTTCGCGCTGGGTTTGCCCAGTTCAGCGACATTTTTCAACACGAGTTTTACCTCAACCAGTTCTACACTGAGAAGGAAATGTCGGATCACATCTTGAAAATGAGTCAGCGTGGGGGAGGAACCAACATCGGACTGGCACTGACTTCCATTAAGGAGTATTTTCAGGCATTGCGGGGCAGTCGTAAATCTGAAGGCATCTCCCAGAATTTGGTGTTGATCACAGATGGAGAATCGCAAGATGATGTTGAAGACCCTGCCATCGAACTGAGGGATCTAGGAATCGAGGTGTTTGCTATCGGCATTGGCGATGTCCACATTCTGGAGCTGCTGCAGATCACCGGCACACCGGAGACGCTCTTCACTGTGCAGAACTTTGGCAGCTTGGAAAATATCAAGCAAAAGGTGGTCGACACCATCTGCAAATCCAAACCCATCAAAACTCGATCATGTGAGTTTGAAAA